CGCATATCAAATTTAAGTATGCAATCCCCGGGATCTACAGTAGTCATTCTTAGGAGGGGCGCCACCGACTCAACTGCCATTGCTCAGCAATGGTACCAGCAGGTTCGTCCTGGAATAATGGACTCGATGCAAATAAGCTGGGCTTCAGTAGGACCCATCGTTCTCATGGGTCGCTATCTCGTAAGAGTCAAGTCAGTAAGTGTTGCACAAAAAAAAAATCTGTTTGGGGTAAGCATTGAGTTCAGATAAAGTTTCTTTCTAGTTCTGTCGGTTTTACCTGGACTGCTTTGAGTAGAGGCATCAGGCTCAATGCATACTATCCAAGTGCACTGGTATCACCCTGTGTTGTTCCTTCCTCAGATTTATTAACGATTTAAATTTAAGTCAAAATTTAAATATAAGTTATATGTATATCTGTTTTGTAAATTATGAACTCTAAGTTGAGTTATAAAATCATGAACTAACTGTTGCTTCCAACTAAATCTAGTTTGTAATATTTAGAACATAATGTCACTGTGGAAGGTGTTTGAAGGGGCCAGGTACTGTGGAGGTGTGTGTGAACACAGTCTCAAAAGATACAAGAGAATAAGAGACAACAGAGATAAGTTGGTGGAACTGGGTTTTATGACACTAGATGAACCACTGGAATGTTACCGGACTAAAGAATGGGAGGAACATACCTCAGCCTACTCACACTGTAAGTTTAATCTTCATCCGTTAAACAAATAATGAACTAACAATTAATGAACCTCTCAACCTCTGAACTTCTGCTCCAACTTTAAGTAGTCAAATTTGTTTTTGATGACACAGTAGTCTCAAAACTCATTTTCCGTATTATATATATTAACCATTATCTCATATCGCAGATGAAACATTGCTGAATCAGTATGAAGATGGGTTGATAAAACTTGAGGAGGTTGTTAATATTGATCCCAGAAACCCCGCTGAGAGGTACAGCTCAGACAGTGACAAAGACAGTCCTGTAGTCAATAAGAAGAAGAAATCTCCCAACATAAAGAAGAAGTCCCAGAAAGGTAAACATAAGAATGGAAGAGTTGAGACTAAAAAGATAAAAGTAGAACAGCTGGATTGTGTGGAATGTGTAAGACAAGTTAATCAGCCTGAAGAAGCTGAGGCTCCTGAAGTAGAGGAACTAGAGATGTTCCTACACTCAGAACCTGAGTCTGTACTAAGATTACAAGATCTACTTGTCAACAAGAATCTAGCTTCTCACCTCGGAGAAGGTCCTGTAGATGTGTGTAAACTGATTGCAGAAAACCCTGAGTTTACACATGAAATATGTGAGGCTAACATAGACTCTCTTATGTCTGATGAGGAGTTCTATAAAATTACTTGTGAGACTTATCCTGGTGGCTGGGAGAAATTCCTGGAGGACATGTTAGTTACATTATATCTTCTTATTTAATTTGATTTAATAGCTTGAATCTTGATCATAATCGTGTTTTAGAACTTTTGCTCGTGTTTCTTTTTGCATAAATATTTGTCAGATTCTCAATGATGTTTTGTTTTTGAGCTAAACAATGTTATGATATTATATATTTAATGGGTACTACTTTACAGGGAGAATGAAGAGTCCTCAGATGAGGAGATAGATAGAATTGAGCTGCCTCCTGACCTCTATAATGAACTTATGTCAGACAAGAGTAATGATGTACCTGACGATGATGAGGAACAGTATAAGTTTGGTAGAATAAACAAGGACCAGGCAGATACTTGTCTTGATCGAGCACTTGAGTTGTATGATAACTATCACAACATGACTCAGGACGAGTTAGTATTTAATTTTGATACTTTGTTGTCTTACACATAAAAATTCTATGGCTTCTCGTAACCACTGCATAATATATATATTTTGTAATTGAGGTTGATTGCATAGTGCTAGTGCATATTAAAGATTGCTAACATGTTGATTCTTTATCCCGCAGGTATAACAAAAAAGTGAAAGAGGTGCTCAAAGATATGGATAGAATTACTGTTCTAGATAATGATGGCGACCATACCAAAGCGAGTACTAACAAAAGTAACATACCACAAAGCAAAGAATATATCAGAACAACACCTGGACCTAATGACAACTTACCCTCTTGTAGCGGTACACACAACGATACTGAACGTAGTGACATGGTAACTCCAGATAAAAGAAGCAGCAGTTATCATAAGAGTGAAACAGACAATGTGATAATTGATAGCACATCTGGTGTAAAAACCAAACCAGATTCTGATACCAGCTCCAGCTCTGTAACACAAACAAAGAAACTCCCCACCATACTCAGTAACAGAGAAGTGTACGAGAATATTGACAATATTCCCCGTCCTTCTTATTGGTTACCTGAGTCAGAACCTGACCCTGAGAAGAAACAAGAAGAGATAGATGATTTTGAGTATCTAGGAATGTTGGATGATGGTTATCTACTAAGCTTGTTTGATGAAGATAAAGAATCAGAAGAGATGCCAAACACTACACAGACACACATTAGTGTTCCTACAGAAACGACTGCTGAGAGAGATAACATTCAGGAAGACTTCTCCAAGACAGAACTTGAAGCAGCTGCAGGAAAAGGTTCTAAAAATAGACGTAGTAATCCTCCTAGAGTTGCTAAAGAGGGGGTTACATACCGTGATGATAACGATAATCTGGAGGAGGTGTTACAGTCTGAATATTGTAAGTTACAATACGTAGAGTTTACTTATTGTTTACTATATGGTATTTTTTGTTTGGTAGCAACAACTGAAATTAAAGTTGAAACTATTGGAATTATAATGATCCCTCAGAATTTTACTAAATCTTTGCTTAAATTAAATAGTAATGTTACTGTTACTTTTACTGTAATAATTTGGTGGATTCTTTTATGAATGATGTTTTTAATGAAATTCTGTTTTTCAGTTTGCTGGCAGTGTAAATATTATGTGAGGGGAGAATGTGAATTACATGGTCCTTTACTCCCCTGTATAGAAGATATCAGCCAACCGGGAACTAAGAAGACTGCAAACTTTCCAGTACCTAGTTGTATTGAAATCAAAGAATCCACAATTCCCAGGGCTGGAGATGGAGCTTTTGCGTCTCAGTTTATTGAACCAGGAAGTATATTGGGTAAGTCACGCGATTTGCTGGGATCAGCTTTTACTTCTTTTTTTTTGTGTCCACTGTCCCTTTCTCCAGACAGCAAGTCTATAAATGTTTGTACCCTAAAGTGGGTTGTTCTGATTTATCTATTTTATCAGGTAACTACAAGGGAAAAGTCATATCAGAAAAGGAGTACAAGAAGTTAGAGTCTTCAGATAAAGAGAGTGGATATGCGTGGCGTGCTGTTAGCCAGGACGGTGATGTTATATACCTAGATGGGGCTAGTCACAGGGCTAGCAACTGGTTACGGTTTCTTAACTGTGCTCGGGGTCAATGTGAAGAGAACGTCCTTGTTAGAAATATCCCAGGTAAAATTGGGTGGACATATGCGCCAGTTTTCTACGTTTTTACTTATCTATTTACATGAGTTGTGAATATTTCATACCCAAGTATGTTGGGCAGAATCGTTATAAACCTGCAACTTACCATTCACAGATTAAATAAGCTGTATTTTACTTAGGTGTATTCTGGCGATGAAATAACATTGGTTTAGTTAATGACTATTAGTATAAATAAATATTTGTATCGTTGTGCAATGCCTTCTATCATGGAATAATTATTCTAGGTGGAATACAGTATTATTCGTATAAACCTATTGGGTTGGGAGAAGAATTACTAGTTTTCTACGGAGAGGACTATTTCGAAGAGTTAGGGTATTCGTTGCAGACTGATGTTGAAAATGGTAAGAAAAATTCTATAGTAACAAATAGTCGTAAATTACACATCGAAGATTATCTTTATTTCAAGATATTGCTGAACAATTCACTTTATTTCAGTAATATTTCATTATTACAGGTCAGCAATATCATTGCACTGCAACTGGTTGTCTTAAGCTGTTTAAGACACAACAAGAACTGGAGACACACACATGTGGGAAGACTCGAGGAGTATCAGGAAAAGAGAAAGTACACAAGTGTGACAAGTGTGGGAAGATGTTTGCTCAGAGGCGTAACTTAACACGACACATCAGAACAGTACACGATAAGGTAGCGAGACTGAGCTGTCCCTACTGTAAATATAGGACTGATCACCAACAAGTTCTTACCTGTCACATGTTAACACACACGGGGGACAAACAGTACAAGTGTACACACTGTGACTATACTGCTGTTCAGAAGCAGCATCTCACTGCTCACATCTACAATAACCACACTCACAAGACATACAAGTGTCGGTACAAGCAGTGTGGTGTTAAGAAACCTTCTGAACAGGAACTATATGATCATATCAGCACAGAGCATCCACTACAACAATACAGATGTGATGTGTGTCCAATGTCTTATAACATAGCACACAATCTTGAATACCACAAGCGAACACATGGTGATCGTGAGCTAGAATCACAACACGAGTGTAAGTACTGTGGAAAACTGTTTTTACAATCTGGTGATCTGAAGAGACATGCTCTGACACACACTGGAGAGAGACCACACAAGTGTAGTGTGTGTGGTAAGGGGTTTACTGAGAACAGTACTTTAACTAGACACATGAGGACACACACAGGGGAGAAACCCTACTCCTGTTCTTACTGTGATAGGAGGTTTAGTGAAAGTGGTGACAGAAATAAACACGAAATTACTTGCAAGAATAAACCCTGTTGAAGAAATTGTTATTGGTAGTTTTCTTGTAGTTTGACGAATAACTTTATGCTTATTGCTTATTGGACTATATTTTCTTCTATGTAAAGTTATTTTATAATTCTGAACTGGTGGAGTTTTCCAACTGATGTTCAAACTAATATTGTCAGCATAACTTTAAACCAACATTTGATTAATATTTAAATTTAAGTTATATTTATCATATCTCTGTTGTAAACTAACTGTTGCTTCCAGCTAAATCTAGTTTGTTATATTTAGAACATAATGTCACTGTGGAAGTTGTTTGAAGGGGCCAGGTACTGTGGAGGTGTGTGTGAACACAGTCTCAAAAGATACAAGAGAATAAGAGATAACAGAGATAAGTTGGTGGAACTGGGTTTTATGACACTAGATGAACCACTGGAATGTTACCGGACTAAAGAATGGGAGGAACATACCTCAGCCTACTCACAGTGTAAGTTTAATCTTCATCCGTTAAACAAATAATGAACTAACAATTTTAATGAACCTCTCGTCTCAATCTCTGAACTTCTGCTCCAACTTTAAGTAGTCACTTCAGAAAGGCTACTGTGATAGATCAAATTATTGCCAAATTTTGTGAAATTTGTTTTTGATGACACAGTATAGTAGTCTCAAAACTCATTTTTCGTATATATTATCCATTATCTCATATCGCAGATGAAACATTGCTGAATCAGTATGAAGATGGGTTGATAAAACTTGAGGAGGTTGTTAATATTGATCCCAGAAACCCCGCTGAGAGGTACAGCTCAGACAGTGACAAAGACAGTCCTGTAGTCAATAAGAAGAAGAAATCTCCCAACAAAAAGAAGAAGTCCCACAAAGGTAAACATAAGAATGGAAGAGTTGAGACTAAAAAGATAAAAGTAGAACAGCTGGATTTTGTGGAATGTGTAAGACAAGTTAATCAGCCTGAAGAAGCTGAAGCTCCTGAAGTAGATGAACTAGAGATGTTCCTACACTCAGAACCTGAGTCTGTACCAGCATTACAAGATCTACTTGTCAACAAGAATCTAGCTTCTCACCTCGGAGAAGGTCCTGTAGATGTGTGTAAACTGATTGCAGAAAACCCTGAGTTTACACATGAAATATGTGAGGCTAACATAGACTCTCTTATGTCTGATGAGGAGTTCTATAAAATTACTTGTGAGACTTATCCCGGGGGCTGGGAGAAATTCCTGGAGGACATGTTAGTTACACTATCTAATTATTTAATTTGATTTAATAGCTTGAATCTTGATCATAATCGTGTTTTAGAACTTTTACTCGTGTTTTTTTTTTGCATAAATATTTGTCAGATTCTCAATGATGTTTTGTTTTTGAACTAAACAATGTTATGATATTATATATTTAATGGGTACTACTTTACAGGGAGAATGAAGAGTCCTCAGATGAGGAGAAAAAGATTGAGGTTTGAGTTAAGTTTACAAGTAGAAATTACAAGACCCCCCAAAATACTTTTCAGTGCAGCTATCACAATAATGCTAAAAAATTGCATATTACAAAGAGCCGGGTTCACAGGCTTCTGAAACAGCGTAACGTATGCAACCCACTGTCATAGTTAAAATATATAATATGTTATATAGTATGTAAACTTGGTCGAAGTAATCCTATGATCATAATTCAAGGGTTGGATTGTGTTCACATTTCAACAGTTCAGTCACAAAATAATTGAAGGTAATGTCTATCAAGTATTACATGTTGATGTAGCATTTAAGTAAATGAATGTCCAAATCGTTTGATCTAGTTAGAACATTTAACCAAGATTGATGTCTTACGTTGTTCATCATGAGCATATACTTTAAGGCTGATCAGATGAATTTGCTGAACTCCGGTTGCCTGTCGTTGCTTGCCAGTCGACCTGCGACAAAATCGGCATATTATATTGACAGCACTAATAGTAGTAAGACCCTCTTGTATCTCACTAACACAATTGGATTTCAAATGTTTTCAAGTCATTCAAGAACAGAAATTCTTTAAATTTAATACATGCAATTTATACATTATACAATTGATTATCTACTTCAATAGTTAAATCTCGATCTAAACTTCAGAACTTGTCTTAGTAGAACGCAGTCCTGAATGAAGGGCAAGGAGCAGGTTTAGTTGACTTGAGACACTGAAAATCTCGGTAGCCTGTAAAGAATGAATTTAAAATCACCTGTTATATTAAAATCTTGCAGAAAGTTAAGAAACTATACATGAAATACGGCCACATTGTTGCCCTTCCTCTCCACAATTTCTCATGTCCCAAGGTCCAAAATTTACCTTTATTGGCTCTGCGGCTCGTGAATTGTGTCATAAAGTCTCACTACTCACAAGTGTATACTCTTTCTAACATTACGACCGATCTAGAAATAATAGATTATGTTATTTAATTAGATATTTCAAAGTGTAAGACTAGGGAAGGAAGAGAGGAAGGTAGGACTAAGATGATAGCGGCAAAGATTCCGCACCATCAATTTGGCGGCAAAGCAGACTCACAAGGATGATCCAAAGCAACCCTAACTTAGACCCTAGCTATACAGTACGTTACGCGTTGCGTATAGATTACTAATGGAGTTTTTGTTCTAGCTAGACGGTAGTCCGTGATCCCTGTATTTGAATCTAACTAGACGGCACGTATTAACAGTGACCTGAATAATAGTATTTGATACTAGCAGACCACATAAGACTTCACGTACGTTTCTACTAGAAGACAGAAAATCCTTCAGATTCTTCTGGATCGACCCTAGGCAGGTAGGAACTAGGCAGGTGCTAGAAATCGGTAAAGGATACCAAGGTGCAATGTCAGAGTTAATTAATTCAACGCATGTTACAATAACCATACAGTGAATCGAAGTTCTAACTACCTCCTTAGTGCTCGCGTAGTCATCCAATAAAGTTCTCTGTTCAACCTGTTTTTGAGGCCAGATAACCATCAAGTATTTGGGACTAGGAGCTAATATAATTTGAATTCGATTGTTTCTCGTTGTATTACTTAATAATTAAATTCATTTAGCTGGTTAGCTTACGTTTCCGGCCGTAGCTCATTATGAATAATCCCTACAATGTATTTCTCCCCCCTTGAAAGTCATCTCACTTGCCGACTGAGGAAGGGGGTGTCCAGAATGGTTGGCTTTTCCGCCGGCTCCAGCTTGTCCTTCAAATACTGATCACCGACGTTTTGTACGGAGATACGGGCCCCGTCTGAAGTACTGCGTAGGAGTTGGGTCAGTTAAGATTCCAAGTCAACTTGCATGTATCATAACCTTTCTCTGATTTGAGTCTGTCAGTATCACTGTACCTTAAGAACACAAATTTAGTCCTACCATAAATTTAGTCCAAAACTTTTGACCATGTGACTATAATTTGTTGTTAACCAATTTCAATGTGGACTAAATTTTTCGGCGATTAATTTTGAAGTAACCAAAAATTTTTAGTACAATTAAATTTTATTTGAGCCTAAATTCTTTAACATAGTTTTAAGATAACAGTTAAAATATCGCTAACTTTACACAGTCCCTACTGCGTGTATAAATAATAAATTGTATGCTAACGGGAGATGACTAAAAAATGGACTTTTTTCAAGGGTCCTTTTTAGTGTCGATAAACTATATTTGGTTCAAACCAATGAAACAAGCGTTGTAAAGCGGGCAATTTTTTAACAGTATGGTCAATGACAAGACGCCATGAGCCCAGTTTGATTGTTTTCAGGAGGGCTTCTTTCTTCAAGCTCAGAAAATTTATTTTTCCCCGTCTGTACAGTTTGGCCTAAAACCGTGTTGGCGCAAGTCTCATCTTTTTTGTGCCCCTAGGGCTCATGTAGGCTTCTCTAGCATATATTCGGGCATGTACAATGTGTTGCCCGAGGACTCCAAAAAAGCCTCTATGGGTTTGATATTGACAAAATTTACTTTGTCCGTCACTTTTTGGACGAAATAAAACCCTAATATGTTTGAATTTGCTCACGACTTCTCATATAAGTCTTTTCCTCTAATCCTAAAGGCTTTGACATCTTTCAAACAACAAACATTTAGTCATGTGACAGCCCTGGAAAAAACCGAGAGTACAGCCAAAACGGATCACCAGGGAGCCGGTTATGTGGCTCACCAGCATTCTACTGGGTCAATTTTTCGAAGTGCCATAATACAGGATGGCATTTTTTGTCTCCTGTAGCTCTGGCTACCGACCTCTGCTGCTAAAATCGCTTTAGGATGTGATAGATGGGAAGTTTAGGCATACTCTCTGCTAAAAAGTTTTTGGTAGAAGCTTGAACTACCTTGAGAGCGACTTCTGTGAACAGTGGCTCTTAACTGTAAAAAATTTAATAGAACCCCTCCCCTAGTTTTCGAAGACCAGTACGGGACAAGATCAACCAATTGATCAAATGGGGGCGGAGACTGTTTCGAGATCGTTCAGAGTAACTGGTGGTTGTGTAAAATAATGAAAAAGTGTTCAGGTGGAAGCTGAGGCTCAAAAACATGTAGTCCCATTTTTTATTCATCACCCGTTTTATGATATGTTAACTAATGTATGAAAGTTGGCCTCGCCGTTGCAATGTTTCACAGATCGAGAACATTCCTCATTACAAAAATAGGGCGTATGGTGTAAGCTACAAGGAATCACGAAGGTTGATAATTTGTCACTGTGACGTTGGTGCGCGTGTGCACGTGGGCCATGGGGAAATTTCGGATACAAGTGGACTACAAAATTTGCGAAATTTAGTGCTCCCCCAGTCTGGCAGGCCATAAAAAACTTTATCAAACTGTACGTCACATGTTGACTTTCACCACACCCCATTATGCATAAAAACGATATATTATATTTCAATTTTTGCAATCGGCAATTAGGGCGTAGGGAGGCCGACACATAAGTGATATACGAATTGTAAATTAAATACTAAAACAAAAAAAACTATGTGACTGCTAACAATTTGGCTGATACACGTTGATCATATGGGAGGGGCCCAAGAATATAAAAGCCCGAATCAAATCAATCAGTGACCAATCTCGCATTTTTAGTTAAACCTTTAAATAAGTTATGCCAAGGAACCTAAGGTAGCATCTACAGCTTGTGATTTATGTGGGAACAGGAGCGAGGTTAACACACCCGGGTTGCCCCGGATGGCAACTTCGTAAACAGCTAGCCAAGCGATTCACCAGCATCGTTACTTTGGTTAGGCGGGGTTTTCCCCTTTTAAAGAGCTGTGCTGTCGAATCACACTGTTTGGCGTTTAATGTATTCAATTTAGCTAAGGAACTGAACAAGGTTATTTAAAGTATACTCCACTTGAATTGTTAGTTTGATTTATTAATAAAGTGATCGTGTCCGAGCATTCGTTTTTCTGATAGCGCATCTCGTTATAAACAACGTAACAAGTAAAAAAACAGGCCCGTCTTTAATCAATGTATAAATTTAACATTACAAATTATTGCAATCAGAGTAAAGTAAAAGTACGCTCCTCTCCACCTTCTTTTCGAAACCTACCGTTCGTTCATTAATACAATATTCTAGAGTTTCAATATAATAAACTAATATAAGACGTTTAGTCGATGATACTAAAAGTTGTTTTTTTTGAGTCGTCTACAAACTTTGACTCAGATTTGAATATATTTATCAGGTGGCCCTTCATTTCATTAAACCGTGCTGCCCTAATATTACCCTAGTATCCGATCGCAATCATATTGTTACTGATTCTAATATTTCAGTTATTAGACTGGCGTTTTATAACTTCTAGTTCTAATCCTAGTTACAATAGTGAAGTCGTTACAACAATTTTGACGCATAAGTCTCTTTACAATGCCTGGAAAAGTGCGAGTTGAGAATTCGAATTGTTGTATTTTTATACGCAACATATTGTAATAATTTCACCCATATTAACATTTGGCGCGTGCCTACCAATCTCATTCGTGTAGTAAAGTAGTAAGAACATACGATAGACCAACCGATCCGGTGTAAATTACACCATTCGCATGACAAAATGCTAAATTAAAATTTCACAGTGTACCCTCGTGTAAGCCGTGTTTATAAAAAGGAATATCCCATAACAACTGTGAAACGGACAGATTCATGTATTAACGAACACAAGCAATTTGTTACATGAACATAAATGTTACTTCTAATCAAATGACAATATTTAAGTGTTTACACATCTAATCGTATCATAATAGTATAAAGTGACCCCACTTCTAATCTGTGTACAATATTTAAGTGTTTACATTTCTAGTCTTTACATTATCAAAGTGTTACACTTCTGAACATGTCACAATAGATTAATTGTGACGCCATCAAGTCTTGTTTCAATACCTGATCTGGAGTATTGTATTTCCCTCGCAAACTAAACTTGTCTCCTTGAAATCGGCCCACATTGTCTCTTCAAAATGTTGGCTGGAATCAGTGTCCTGCGAAAGTTTGAACTGATACAGTAATCCTTAC